AACTTTGAACATCTTTAAAGAAAGGGTGTGGGAAACCTGTAATAGAACATGGCGGAGTTCGACCATTCAGAAGGTTGGGGAGCTCAACCTGGGCCTTGCAGCCCGAGGTCAGTCAGCATCATGGGGTTCAGCCATCAGCTAACTGAGATCAGGGGTCTTGCATCCTCACTCTGTCTGAGCCATTAAATGGTAAATACACTATATTGAAATTTTGTTCACTGCAGACATGTTCTGCACTGCTTCTTGATTTAAATTTAATTCAAATGATTTAAGGGTGATATACTAGTGACTACTACCAGTGGTCAGTGTCAAAGTTGTGCCTGATCTTAATGTGTTGCTGATTGTATCAGTTAGGGTAAAGCATTGCGGTTGATTTGACGATCTGTTTTCTCTGATGTTGTGAAGATGAGAATGTTTGTGGGTCATTAGAGACACAGAAGCTAGGGAGCAACTATATGAGGAAGATTTGGGTAATAATCCAGAGATTAAACCAAGGACAGTCTAATAACAAAAATAAAAATGAGAAAACACTTAAGCAAGACACAAAGACAGACTTCCAGTTCACCAATGGCAAACAGTAGGGCAAATGAGGATGAAAAGGCCAATAGTGAACCACCAGGACACCCTGAACTCAAAGCACAGGAAGTAACAAAACAGATTAATTAGGCTCTAGGAAAATTCAAAACAGAAATAATTTCCCAGATAACCATGGAGATAGTGAGAAAAATGGAAGTCATGATTCAAGACTTTACAGCAGAAACTGACAAAAAAAATAGATGAGCTCAGGACCATGATAGAAGCCATGAAGGCCCGGCATAAGAAAGAAATGGAAAAAATAAACACCCAACATAGGAAAGAAATGGAATCCATAAAACAGATTCAAACAGATATCCAGGAGATTAAACACTCCATTGAAAGTGTACACAACAGAATAAAAGAATGTGAAGATAGGCTTTCAGATATAGAAGATACGATTGCAGTCAATGACCATGAAAAGAGAGGTCTCTTAAAAACAGTAAGGGATCATGAGAAATTGATCCAACATCTCCTAGATGATGCAAGAAGAATAACATAAGACTGATAGGAATCCATGAAGTAGCAGGAGAAAATACAAATGACTTTAAAAAGCTGTTTGCAGAATTAATGACAGAAAACTTCCCAAACAGAAGGGAAGAATTTGACATTCAGATAACTGAGGCATATAGGACCCAAACAAGCTACAATAAAAAAAAAATCTACACCAAGACATATAATAGTCAAGATCCCAGAAACCCAACAGAAGAACAAAATACTACAAGCAGTAAGAGAAAAGAAACAAATCATATACAAAGGAAAGCCCATCAGAATCAAAGCAGACTTTTCAACACAAACCCTTGGGGCAAGGAGAGCCTGGAATGAGATATTTCAAGTACTAAAAGAGAACAACCTCCAACCTAGACTGATGTATCCTGCAAAACTCTCTTTCAAAATGGACGGGGAAAGAAGACACTTCCACGACAAAGAACACCTGAGAAACTACATGAATACCAAACCAGTGCTACAAGGAATTCTAAAGAAGATCCTAGAAAAAGACAATGAAGGCAACAACACCATGAGGCCCACCAGAGCAAATCAAATAGGCAAGGGAAGAAATTAAAAGGAGAAGGTGAAAAAGTAAAAAGAGTCAACAAAAGGCCAATAACATGTCAATAATAAGTCAGTATATATCAATTATAACCAGCAATGTCAATGCCCTCAACTCACCAAGCAAGGGAAATAGACTGGCAAAATGGAATAAGAAGCAAAATCCAACAATATGATATATACAAGAAACACACCTAGTGCAAAAAGAAGCCCATAGACTGAAAGTGAAAAGATAGAAAACAATTCTCCATGTGACAGGAGCCCAGAGAAAAACAGGGGTAGCAATCTTATTTGCAGACAAAGTAAATTTCAAACCAAAACTGATTCTAGTATTATCGATGTAGGATGGTACTGTATCATACCTCTATGAATGTAAAATATCTTGTACCTGTTTCATGATACATAGTAGGGACTGTGCTTTATCAGAGCTACATTTAATAATATTACTCTAGAATGTTCTCTTTCCAGATGATGATTAAGAGGCTAATAAAATGAAAATGGTCCCAGGTACCACAACAGCAACAGAACTTTGCTGTTTTCTGGATATTATTCTTTTCTTTGTTTTTTTGTTTTGTTTTGTTTTTAATGGAATGTGCTGAATGTCTATAATTTTGTTCAAATGACTGCAGAACCTGGAAAAGCTGTTGCTGCTATCGATGTATAACATACTATTATTAGTCTTTTTATATAAATATAAATATATATATATACATATACATATATATATATGTATATATATATATAAATTGAATTTTGAGAAACTTTAACGGTGCTGCCAACTTTGGAAAAAGTCATCCCAATTTACTGTGTTGAGTTGGCATTGTACAGAAATTGGCAGCCATATTGGTCTAGAAATGTTAATTTATTTTTATTTTTATTTTTATTTTTTTCCATGTGTACAGGGGTAACACATCATACTAAATATGTAATGTCATATCTACGTGGGTTTGATTACAGAAACTAATAAAGTATTCTCTGAATAATGTAAAAAAAATAAGATAAGACTATAGGAGCAAGAAGCAATTTAAATATGTTCAGGGACCATTTTCATCTCCAGAATTAAGGATTATTTTAATCTTACACCATTGCCTTTTCTCTTTTACTTTCCTTTTTAGCTTTGTTTTAGGGTTCCCTATTTTTAATGTTCATACAGAGATTTCTTTAACTGAAATACCGAATAGTTTCTTTGGTGCAAAAACTATAATAGTACACAGGATCCTAATGAGATAATTAATAATGTGAAATAGGAAGTAAAGGGCTAAAGGTATAGGGAAAGTGGGAAGGGTGGGGGAAAGGTAATAAGGGAGAGGAAAAACATATGAGAAAATGAAAAAATGGAAATAAAGTGTTTGTAAATGGGGAGGTGAGGAGGGGGTGAAGGGAGGGCAGGGACAAGGGAAAAAATGAAAATCAAGACCTATTATGTAAAGGTACAGAATCCTAATGATGAATGTAACTGTATTTGTATACCTAGATTGTACCAATAAACTCAATTAAAAAAAGATCAAAATAGTTTTGGAGGTTGCTATACAATAGGAGTTGGCAAATGTTTTGTGGGAAGGACCAGATTTAAATATTTTATGCTCCAGGCTGGGGATTTAGCTCAGCAGTTTGGTGGCCTGCCTTGTAAGCACAAGGACCCAAGTTCAATCCCCGGTACCAAAAAAAAAAAAAAAAATTATGCTGCACATCTACAGAGACTCTGCTGCAGCTGAGCTTTGCAGTGATGGACCAAGATCGGCCATAGATAATGGCATGGGCTGGTGGGCAAGCTGTGTTCCAAGAAAACTTTAATTATGTATATGCAAACCTGCATTTTGTGTACTTTACTCATGCCATGGAGTACTATTCTTCTTTTGAGTTTTTTTATTTAGTAAGATAAAAACCAGTTTTAACTTTCAAGCTATACAAAAACAGAGAAAGGGGCACTTTTGGCAAACAAGTTATCAATTGTCAACCTCTGTTATGCAATAATAAAGATATAGAAAGATGTATGTAGGAATTGAGATAACAAAGTTTATTAGAAAACAGCACTAGAAATTCAATTTATAACAAGCTGCTATGAAACAGAATTTTGTTGATCTTGAGCCTTAGTGAATTTGATTTTCTTGATATGAAAAGTAACCTACATAGGAGATAATTTCTAGTACTAAAAATTTGTTTTAAAATTATTTTTAAATGATAGCTGGGTATGTAGCTCAATGGTAGAATGCTTGCCTACCATGTACAAAGCTCTGGGTTCAGTTCCTAGCACAGCAAAAAAATTTTAAGTGAATTTTATGTAACATGAGAAATATTTTTGAATGCATGATTACTTTGAATATTTTTTAAATTTTGGAAATATAAATATTTTGAATGAATCTTGAATAAATTTGTTTTGTTTTGTTTTTTGGTACCAGGGATCAAACTCAGGACCTTTCACTTGTAAGGCAGGTGACAGAACCACTGAGCTAAATCCCTGGCCCTTGAATAAAATTTTTGAAGCTTAACAGAAGGTGAATTTTTTGAGCATTCTAAATATTTCAAGATTTAAAACACATACTTGCATACTTTTATTTCTAAGAATAATTTCAAGATTATCAAATGTGACAATATTTTCTTAATATATGTAGTACAAGAAAGAGGATAAATATAATCTACCTATAAATACATATGGAAATATCAATAAAAATAGCAAAGCTGATAACTCTTAACACTTAAAATATTTTACCAAGACGTTGTTGTACACAGCCTTTCAATACCATCATATAGCCTTAATTATTTTTCTTTAACTGATAGTCATTTGGAGATAACAGATATTTAAATAAAGCATAATATCAAGCTGCACTTAATAAATTTTTCATGTTTCATAACCAAAGCTTTTAAATGGTCATTTTCATCCAGTTTTAATTTTATAATATATCACATAAGAACTACATTCTTTTCACTGATGCATATTTACCAATAACAGAAAAAGTACATTTTTATTCTCTGAAAAAAAAAAAAACTTCTATTGATATGGAATCAAGGTATAGATAAAATAGCTGAAGCCTGATGCAATAATTTCTGGCAACAATAAATTGAAAAATAAAGGGAAAAATATCAAAACCACCTTTGCTATTTTCTGAACACCAAGAATATCATTTAAAAAGACATGAATATTGGATATAAAGAAAACTTTAAAATATTTCCTTTTAAATACAAGGCATAATATAACCCTTTAAAACATCTTTGATAATATATGCTCATACCCGAAGAACCTCATTATTTATTCAAAAAATAATGCCTTTTCACTAAAACGTGAATTTGAACCTTTTTCATAATTGTTGAGTGATTTTTATAAAAATAAATTTCCTTAGGAAAAAAATTTGCCAATTGGAATATCTTCATTTTGAGAAAAAAAATGCATTTTTCTCTGAAAGTAACGAATTTTGGTCCTTGGGTATACGAACATCCATTGACTTATACAAATGAGAACAAATTATTGTGCTCCTACAAATTAGTTCTTTCACTACTACAGTCTGAGACAGCATCTGAAAACCTGAATAAAATGTTAGATGCATAAGCAAACATCAGTGAGCAGAACTAAGCGTGTTCTACCCCTTCCTCACCTTCATGGGACTGCATAGTGATGGTACACTGCCGTCCTATACATCATCTAGTGCCCTTTCTAACCACACATCGAAACATGTTTGAGTTTATATTTAAACTCGATGTCATTTAATGGTGGTAAAATGCCCAAGCCTGCACGGGACTGGTCCAAAGGGGGACATTTAGCTTGGCTCTCCACAAGCTCTAGTTCAAAATATGAAAGCATCAGAATCAAAAATTGCTTGATTTCTTGGACAGCGAATAATCTTCCTGGACATATTGTAGCTCCCGATCCAAAAGGCATGTAGTAGTACTTTAATTTGATTCCATTGCTGTAGAAGGTGGTCTTTGTTTTCTTGTTTTCATCAAGGTATCGATCATATTTAAAAGTCTGCAATAAAAATACAAAAAAATACAAAATAAAGCCCAAGTCTATAAAATACTTTGAAGGAATGTATCTGTTTCTTGACCTGGAAGTTCCAAAGAGTGATTTTGTTTTATAATCTACTCCATCAGTGATATAGCAAATACCCTACACTGAATGAAGAGTAATAAGGGATGAAAATTTAAGAAGAATTGGTCCAAGAAAGCTTTAAGATACTTTCTTTCCTGACTGGTGATGAGTTCCTCAGTCAAAAGAACTACCAAGAATGGTTCCACTCACACTAAAAATCAGTACTGCTAAACTCCAGTTTCGTGGATTTGACAAGTATCTTTTAAGGAGGAAAAAGTAAGGAGGCAGATTTATTTGATGATTGAAAATATAATATAGTGGAGATGATGGGATGACAAATATTAAAACTAAAAATTAAAAATTCAAGCCACTGCCCTAATTTTCCAAACTACATGAATTTTGACATAAGGGGATGACTTCTGTGGCCTCAATGATCTAATCAGTTCTACAACTGTAAATGCCCTTATTTAGACCTGAGTTGGTGTCACACAGACACTAAACTTTTTGACAAGCAGTCACTTACCAAAGGGTCTGGGTAGATTTCTGGATCTAAATGCATTAACTGTGGATAAAGGGCTATGATGTCATCTTTTCGGATGTTGTAGGAACCATCCTCAAGGTGCAAAGTGAAATTCTCCTTAGCTGTCCGAATGTTTAGAGAGGCACTGGAAAGCCTCAAAGCCTCTTTGATGATACTATCTAAATATTTTAAAAGAAAGGAGAAAAAGGAAGAAAAGGATTCGTTGAAGGATGAAAAGGAAAGAACAATTTAAATATTTCAAGGTCACAGAATAAAGAGTCTGAAACATTTCTGGCTGCTTATAACAAAGATAATCAGAAAATAGGAAATTGGCCATATTTAAACTTCTCAAACTTTCTTTCTGTTATAATTATGCTATTATCAATGATTTGATTGTCAAAATGTATTTTAATCTGATTATCTGAATTAATAACTGATAAAATATATGACTGTGTCAATGGGAACTGCACTTTCATCATTTTACTTAAAAATAATCTTTGATTTTCTCTTTGTTTTTCTGAGACAGGGTCTCACTATGTAGTTCAGGTTGGCCTTGAACTTACTGTGTAGCCCAGACTGGCTTTGAACTCACAGTGATCCTCCTGCCTCAGCCTCCTGAGTCCTGGCATTTCAGGCATGCACCATTACACCTGGCAATAATCTTATTTCTATATGATATTTAACAGCTGATAAAATTGGAAACAGTAACTAATTTTTATGTGAATTACTCAATGTTTACCACTTGTGAGGTCTAATATACTGATAACATTTTTATACAGAAATTATTTCCAGGATGTTTCATGCAGCTTCAATTCAGTATTACCAAACACTCATTTTTATCTATATAATATCTGATGCTATATAGTAATGCCCTGATAATGGATAAAGGCATAAAGGGACAAAAAAGAAAAAGTAAATCAAATCACAAAACCACTTTGAGAATATAGAAATTTCATGAGAAGTCCAGCCACTCCATTTACAAATGAGAAAAAAGCAAAGTTCCAAAAGAGAAGTAAGATGTCTGAAGCCTCCCAGGTCAGACTACAACCCAAGCTTTTGGGGAAATTTTCATCCCTTCTAAAATGATAGATTGCCCTAAAAGCATGTGTTGGATTATTTTCTTTATGGAAAATTTATTTAAAAAAAGACTCTTTCTATAAATACATAGTTATGTTTGTATTTCTATAAAATAAAATATAGAAAAGGAAAAAAAAATCAAACAACCTTTGGATTTAGCTCAGTGGTTCCGCCGCCTGCTTTGGAGGCACAAGGAACCAAGTTCGATCCTTGGTACAAACAAACAAACAAACAAACAGCCTTCAATCCCACCACCCAACCTATATGGCAAATTGAGGCTCTTCGCACTTCTCAGCCCCACTCTATTTCACAGAGATACATTGTATGCTCCCTGTAACTGTAACAGTGGTGAGGGAGACAGCCGCACGGTGTGGTGGTTGAGAGCAGAGGATGGAGCGTCCCATATTGACACTGCCATAGGTTCCACATCACTCCCAGGCAGCATCTTAACCTCTGGGTGTCTGTTTCCTTACTTGGTATATGGAAATAATAACAGTCCCTCATTACAGGATTGCTGTGAGGATGAAGAGAGCCAAATCATATGAAACACTCAGCAGAATTTCTTGAAATTAGTGCATAATATCTGCTGACAGTGTTGTTAATAGGACACAGTAAATGAAATGTGGTATATATAGCAAGCACACCTAGTATCGGTAGGTCATTCAGTTGCATTTGATTCAAATGAATAGGATTGCCTTCAAAGCTGAGCTGCTGCCCAGCGCTCTCCAATGCCTTATTCACTTCTTCGGTGGCCGCTTTCAGTGCTTCAGGACTCCTATTGAAAGTTAAGAGGAAAGAGAAGATGCAAAGAAAATACTTTTTCCATACTCGGAGGTCTGCAAACAATAGGCATTTCTCTTATTTTAAGAAGGTAGTCAGGATAACAGGGAAGGTGAGAAAGGAACATTCCCTTATACTCTATTTGTGTTTGTCTTCAACTTTGGCAAGAATTGTTTCACAGGAGTTTGCTAAATAAAAGTAAAACTGTGGTCATACATCTATTAATAAATAATTCTAAGGAAACATTAAACACTCAAATGAGTAAGGAAATTGTATCTAAGATAACAATTACAGAGTATCCAAATGGAAATTTAAATTTACTCTTAACATTTTTACCATGATTTTAGTTAGAACAGCTTTTTCCATTTAAAAGTTTGAATTGTGAAATAAAGGCTACTTATTTTAGGGATGCAAGTTTGTTGAAGCCTCAGGGCCACAGCCAGGATCTGTATTATGTAAGTACAGCAGACTAAGTCCCACAAATGTTTGGAAAGTATTTCTGTGACTGTCATAAAATACGGCTATGCTTGCCAATATATTAAACTGATGTGACCTTACTATGAATACATGAATTTATTCTGGTCAAATAAATGGTAAGACAGCTATTATTAATTAAAGAAAAACACAAACCATAAATGCATAAATGAATAAGGTATAATCACTGCACTGATTATTGTCTTTAAGTCAGTAGTCACTTAAAAATATTTTCATGACTCCTCATGGACTTGAATTGGTTTTGTGAGGAATCGTGTGGAATTAAGAGCAAATGCCCTGAGCCAGCTGACCTGAATTGACCCAGGGTCCGCCCAGCCAACCCTTGGACTTCAGGAACACCCCTGTATCTTGGCCTATGTTTCTATAAAACTCTGTTCTGTTTTTTTAAGGATTGAATAGGAACATAGGTATTACGTTCTTGATGGATGGCATGAGAAAGTACTACAAGCATTTTTATTTATGTTAAAATGCTTAAACTTGTGCTTCCTACCAGAATAAGGACACGAGTAATTTTTTAGTCACCTAATCGTTTGAAACAAGCTCCAGAAAGTGGCAGGAATGGTGTTTGCTTGGGAGGCCCAGAGGATGGCTAGGTGCGTCTTGGCCTTCTCCGCGTCGTTGAAGGTGGAGAGTGTGTCGTTCAGGTGCATTCGCAAGCGGATCAGATCAGAGACGCTGGCCCGTGTGCGGAGGCTGTCGTGCCGCAAGCCCTCCGCCAGCTTCTCCCGGGCCCTGTGAGCTGTCTTGAAAGCTTGAATGGGGAGGCCGGCAGCCAGGGCCGGGAAGACTTTGTCAAATTGCTTGAAGTTGTCAAGGTTGTTCAGTATAAGGGCCTTTTGTGTGTCTAGCGTTGTAAGATCTCTGCCAAAGAGAGTTAGATACCCAGCTTCAAACATCACTCTGTAGCAGAAGGAGTACATGCCCTCGGTCACCCAGGCTGCACTCTTTGATGTGGGAGGGACCGGGGATCTCAGAACGAACTGCAGGTTTTCCATCATGGCTTCCGTGAGAGCATCCAAGGCTTTGCCCTGCAGGGTCTTGTTGAAAGTACTGTTTATGTTTTCAGTGGTGTTTCCATCACTGGGGTCAATGCTTCTGTGCCCAAATGCCTATCAACAAATAAAATGTGTGAGAGGAAAAGAAGAGGATGTAAAGGGGTGGGGGGCGAATCGGCTAGATACCTTTATCATTCTCTGCTTGGCCTTCCCACGTACAATTTCATAGCAGTTTTCAAAGAAATGGTCAAGTGATATAGTTCACTAAAGCCAAATTTAAATCCTTGCATTTCAGTGACACTTCCTTGCACCCTTACAGTCTTTTATTTCTCATGCTACCTGCACACTTATTTGCTCACTAATTTAGTACTAATCAAATAATGTTTTTAGTCATTAGTTCTGCAGTTTGACAGACTTTAAGCCACTTGGTGGCAAAGATTATGTCTCATAATTTTTTGCAGAGACGCAGTAAGAACTAATTGCTTTCTCTATGTTAGAGCTGATTCCTTGACAAAATGGCCGGAGAATGATAAAACAACTGTAAAATTTTAATTTTTCTAACATGCACTAGCACATTGTGCAGATATCATTAATGTGATGAATTTGTTCCTGGCTTTTTTATGCAGTTCCATCAGCTAAGTAAAGGATTTAGTTTTTACTTTGCCCTCATTAGCTAGTCAACAAATGACAAACCTATAACTATTATGGATTTTAAAATATTAGGAGGCTGTGTCTATTTTGATTTGTTATATGTCTAAGAATCTCCACAATAGGGTAATTCCCAACACCTCTGTCCTACAGTGTGTGAATATGAAAATTACTAAATGTACTTATATTAAAAAAGAAACTAGGAAACATTCAGAATTCTGTATAAATGCAAAAGAAGTTACCTTCGCAGAAGTAGTGTAGTGAAATTTTTTCCAGTCAAAATATTTTCCATGACACAACACTTTATGGTATGACAAGGAATTTGTAATGAAATGGACATATTTTCCCATTAGTTTGCAGGTAAAAACATGACCATGTTTCCTTTGATTTGCTTTGAGGAACTCAAGAGGATTGGCCCCAAATTTTAGAGCACAACCCAGGTATGGAATCAGCCCATTCTCCAGAGGTGGCTCACCTATTTTCCTGTGAGACATAAATGTATTACAGAATATGAAAAATTACATATTTAGTTTCTTTTTATACCAGTTTTTTAAATTCCATGCTGACTTCAAACTTTAAATTTCTAGTTTATAAATACTTCTTTTGTGCATGGGGCCATGCTCTTTTACTAAAATAATGGTATTCATTTATCTAATAACATGATATGTTGAATTATTAAATTCATCTATCTATCCATCCATGCATTCACCAAGCACTTCTTTATTGACTACTCTTTGCTAACCATTTTTCCCAATGATAGGAATAAAAGGATCAACAGTATTGAACACAGAAATTATCATTGTTTATTTTGGTAGATTTAATTAAAAGGCACTTTTAAAATTGAAATTAAAGTTTTTGTCTAACAATATTAAAGTGTGTAATAGAAAACCAAATTTATTGTTTAGTAATGAAGGTAAAAGAACACTAGATAAATGAGCTAAAAGAAAATTTAAAGGACTTTCCTTACCTTCTTCTTATTCCAAAAAGCCATAAACAGCAGCATACTGCTGCAGCAATACCCCAGATCAAATATGTAGTCATCATTTTGCAAATCTTGTGCAAAACTCCTGAGGAAGAGAATCTATGGTTAGAACCTGAATCTGAATAAAGTGTCAAGCTATTTATGTACATGAAATCCTGACCCAATAACTTGAACTTTAGCAGCTAAAGCAATTGCTCATTTGTTCAACCAATTAGGAAAAAGAAAAAAAGAAGTAGTATTAACTGGCCTTGAACAAAGTCCGTAGTATCAGAAGAGGTTCCAAAACAATCAGAGACCTGCAATACTTGATAAGCTGAAGGTCTTCTCAATCATATGTTGACACAACATTCAGACCTGGGGACAACAGCTAATATTAAAGTTGGGTGGGGTCTATAAAAAGAACAAATAAACTGGTTCAAGATAAATATATCTAATAAAGATATAAAATATACTTTAAACAAAAGTAAGCATGTTATTCATCAAACTAACAATTTTATCTTGTTGCCTTGAAGGAATTAATTTAAATAACTTATCAGAAAGAGTATGATAAAATTCAAAAGAAAAAGAAGTGGGAAAATATTTCACTTGTTTCATATTTTATTTCTTTTACAAATCAGATTCTTTACACAGATAGTAACATGTTACTTACCTAACATCATTAAAAAAATATTCCATATAAATACCTCTTCTGGGTAAAGCACAGCTTGTTTTAAACATGCAGACTTTACAAATCATATTTGTAATTAAAATGTTTATTAATTATTCTAATCATTAAAGTAGTATATTTATTTCAAATAATGTTAAGACTAACAGAAGCAAATGTTGGTGGAAAGTGAATATCAATTTGTAATTTACGTCCTGTACTATTCCCACTCAGAGGTAACCACTGTAAACTTTTTGGCATATGCCTTTCCAAACTTTAAAATAATTTTTCTTTTTGTTTTTCATTGTGCTGGTGATTGAATCCAGGGCTCCTTGTGTATGTTTGACAAGTGCTTTACCTCTGAGCTATAGCTGCTATAGCTTCAGCCCATGTACTTCACATACCTATCATTTGACATTTGTTAAGTCCTAAGAACTCTTCCAAGGTATTTGGATTGTAGGCATTAAGATAGTCTTCTACTGTCATGGAGACTCTACTCCAGCAGAGAAGCAGAACATAAGATCTGTGTAAAGAATAAATTAAAACAGTAGGAAAAAAATAAATAAAAGGCTAGGTGCAGAGCTACTGGGGGAAGAGGGCAACTTTGGTGATCAGAGAAGGAATGAGGAAAACTGATTATTGTATGCCCAAAAGATTTTGGACACTTGAAGTTTTGAATGTAGACTCTATAGACTTGTCTCATACTGTTTTGCTTCCATAAACAGAGACCAACATCTTTTAACACATGATTTATGACCACAAACAATGGCACCAAGCATTGTATAACAGTATATAGATATTTCTCAGAATTTATTTAGGCTCTTTAGTTCTTTGTACACATTGAATGCACAGTATCTCAATTTAAAGTTTTTTGTATGACTCATAAAGAAGTGAAACTTTATGTGGTCAGTTACTGCATAGTATTATAGTCAGAAAACATGCCAATCTAATACAGTATCCAAATAATTGATCCTCTAAAGTCACCTTCCAGGTAAATGAAAACAGACAAAAATGGAAAGCAAAGAGCACTGTGGAACTCTCAACAATGTCTTTGCAGCTGCCTGTGAACCTATAATTATGTCTAAATGAGAAAGTTTTCAAAATGGCAAAGAAGAATACATTCACAGCTTCAGGAAAACTTCCTTATGTCCTGTCTTCTTTATCTGTTTTCAGGACATCAAAGACTCTTTCAAATGAAATCTAATTGTTAGGCTTTTATCCATGTTTCCCTTTTCCTGATCTGTTCTTTCTACTCCCTCACTTACAATCTTTTTCTATTTAAAAAAAAAGAGAGAGACACCAAAAAAGAGAGGCTTGAAATCAGGGTTGGTGTCCAACACCTATAATCCCAGCACTGAGGAGGTGATGCAGGAGGATTGCTGCAATTTTGAGACCAGGCTGGGCTACAAAGTGAATTCAAGACCAACCTCAACTACATACCCGGGAGATGATGGGGGGTGACTATTCATATTTTTTTCTTGTTACACATGGTTTATGTCTATCCTCCTGGGAGCGCCACTAATGCTATTGCCTCTTCACAAATGGCACTACCAGAGCCCTAATATGCTGCTTCTATTCTAGCAGCTGGGAATTCAGAAGCATGCTATAGTTAACAAAACTATTAACAGTGGGGTGATGCACACCTGTAATCCCAGCACTTGGGAGATGAGGCAGGCAGATTGTCATGAGTTTAAGGCCAGCCTTATGCTATGTATTGAGTTCAAGGCCAGCCTGGACTACATAGCATTACCCTGTCTCAAAACAGTGGAAAAAAAAAACCTACTAATAAACTGCAAGGAAATACATGAATTGTGTCCTGATCATGCGTAAGTGCATAAAGTTTCATGTAAGGATTTTTTAGACCTCTTTCTGTGTTTTTAGCATAGTACCTAGTGAACTATCAGACCCTAGTGAACTAGACTGGTAAAACCTTGTTATGACTGATTTGGAGCTTCATAATTAACTCTTGGGAAATTCATCTGTTCACATTTGAACCATGTTCATAGTGTGGGACTGCATAACTTTATAATCTTAAATCCTAGTCCCAACTGGGATTAATGTAAATTAACAGTTGAACATTTAGTAGTTCTGGGTAAATAGATAAAGATTGTTTCACTCCTTGTCAGCCCAGAAGGAACGTTTTGAAAACCTTAACATTCTGTAAGCATCTTGAGTATAGACCCCCACCCTGCCTATCCCCTTATAAAAAGGACCTCAGCCCCTGAGCTGGTGCCTCCCTGAGCTGCTTGACTCTGGGAGTGCTGTCTGGCCAGACTAGTAAAGATCTGTTCCCTTTCCATTGTGTCTGGTGTATTCCTTCCCGGGTGAATCTCATGGCTGTCAAGCTCTTTGGAGTGGTAGAATCAAGCTCCTTGGAGTGGTAGTAAGGCCCTTGATCTTACATTTTGAAAGCCCTCAGTGGCTGTTGAGCTCCTTGGAGTGGTAGGGGTGAAAAAGTTACATGGTGGTGTAAGCCCTCCAGGCCTTACTTCCACTCCAAGGAGCTTGAACAGCTGAAAGGGCCTCCAAGATATTGGGCCTATAGCCCAGCGATTGCTCCAGGAGCTTGATAAGCAGCGAAAACCACCCAGGCAGGAACACACCAAACTAATTGGAAAATAGACCTTTATTAGTCTGGCCAGATGGCACTCCTGGAGCCAAGTATCTCAGAGAAGCAACTAGCTCAGAGTCAGAGGCTGTTTTTATAAGGGACTATGCGGGGAGCTAACACTCCAAACTTACAGGAAGGGGACAAAGGCAAGTGGTCATCAATCATGTATTTGGCCATTACTTACTAATGGTCAGCATATCAATTACCCATTGTTTTATAGATTGTGGTTTTTGGAACATTCAGTTATGGGGCAAACAAGGAGTGGAGTGATTTCGTTTGGGTCTCTATGTTATAGTTTCTGTGTAGTTTTCCAGAACTTCCAAGCAGTTACCTATTAACTCACAATTAATCACAGTTGCAGCTAATTTAAGATTACAATGCAGTTCCATATTCTCTACTGAGTTTAGTTGGAATCAAATCCTTGATTCATTATTTTATTTAAATTTTTAGCTAAGGGGACATAGCAATTTGTAAAGGCATCTTTTTAGACAGGTAAATTGGGGATTAGGATCCCCAGAGCACATAAAGGTCACATTTTTATCATCTGTAGGCTTACAAACTCTTAATTTAAAAGCATAATATCTCATAACACTTTGACACAATATAAGAGTCCATATCTTGATTGCAGTTTTTATTTTTCAGCCATGCATGGACTCACCAGCTTCCAGTGTGGTGAGAGCAGGGCTTTGAGTGCACTGTCTCCTGGAGTTGGAATCTGTGGAATTCTGTTTCACTCTAGAGTAGGGCACTTCAGCTACCTTGACAGCTGTGGGAGTAACCATAAGTGCCTCATATGGCCCCTCCCATAGAAGATGTAAAGGGGTCTTTTTTAAATTTTAAAATAAACTCAGTCCTTCAGTTTAAAATCTTGTGTATTTCTGAAGTCTTTTCTTTTTATAGGGAAAGCCTCAGGCCATCCAGAATAAGTACAAACCCATATCAACACATATTTATAACCTTTACAAGGGGTGGGTATAATCATCTGAAGTTTTTATTTAGTTGTCCTTTTGGCTTATATAAATTTTCCCTCTACTGTGAGAGGACCACACCTTTATAGACTGTGCCATAGATATACCAAGTGGCAAACAGGTATCTGTATAAACATTTACCCTCTTTTCTTTTGCCCATCGGAGAGCCTGTATGAGTGCCCACAGTTTTGCTCATTGAGATGACCATGCAGTGTGGAGTGGTCCTGCTTGGACCACTTTATCTTGAGTTATCTCTGCATAGCCAGCATAGCATACCCCATTTTCCATGAAGTTGCTCTCATCCTTGAATGGGATGAAATCAGCCTCAGGCAGTGGGTCTTTTTGCACATCTGGATGACTGGAGAACAATTCATCAGTGACCCTGAGGCACTTGTGGTTAGGGGGCCAGGTTCCAAGGGCAAAAAGTAGCAGGATTTAAGGTTTTAACTGAAACAAAATATAGGCAGGGATTCTCACAGATGAGGGCCTGATACTATGTGACTCTATTATTTGAGAGCCATAGAGCCATCAATGTCTTGTTATTTAATAGTTTTAAAAGGCATGGGGAAATTGAACAATTTACATTTTTTCTAATGTTATCTGGTCAGCTTCCTTAGTTAGTATAACTGCAGCTGCCAGGCCTCATAAACAAGGCAGCTATCCTTTTACAGCTGGATCTAAACTAAGGTAAATAAGTCACTGGCTAATTGTATGGGCCTACTCCTTGAGTGAGCACCCCTAAACCAGTATGATTTCTTTTAGTCATATACAAACTAAAAGACTGGGTCACATTTAGGATCCCTGATAACAGGGGGCAGCAGAGAGAGTTAGTTTTAGTTGTTTAAGTGTTGACTTTTCTCTTTACTCTCTAATAATTACTGTCCTTTTGGGCCTTTAAAGCTTCATATAGAGGTTTGGCTAAGTCTGCAAACCCTGTAATCCAGATTCTGCAAAAACCTATCATCCTAAAAAATTATCTCCTCTGCTTTTGAGTCTTTTTATGTCTCAAGCAGCATATTTTTTGGAAACTTCAAATCCTACATATCTGACTTCCTATACGCAAATTTGAGCCTTTTCTATGAAACTATATCCTGCCTCTTGAAGTAGCATTAATAGTCTTTTAATGTCCTGTTTTTTTAATTTAGTACAACAGAAAATTAACAATAATCATTTTATTTATGAAACTTTATAACCTTTAATTTAATTTTATATCAAAAGCATTTTTCCAATAAAACCTTTTAACTATTTTTCTATAGAAATCATATTTTGAAAATGACCACTATAAACATATCATAATAACATTTAGAATCCAACCCTTTGATAACCAATGTAAACATTTTATAACAACATATTTAGCCATGTTTATTGGGGGTATATCTTCTCAGAAGGCTGTGAAAACAGTTGGGTCTCCCACTAGTGAATAAAGACCAGAATAAATTTTTCTGAGCAGCTGTCCTTTTTACCATTAACAGGAGTCTATCCAGACCTGAGAGTTTATATTTAATTATCTTGACAGAATTTTAACTTATTAAACCAGGTTATAGAAATTAATGAATTATTTGAATCCTTGATGTCATTTTAATCAAAATACAATTGTACAAACACTTTTTAAACAATTGGACAGACACAAACATGTAAGACAATTTATGAAACTATAATATGCTCAAATGTATTTGGCCAATTGAATTATAAAATCTCTTAGTTATGACAAGTCAAAGCTTTTGCAGGTCAATTAACAGATCTCTTATAGAATTAGAGTCAAAGGATGAAAGCTCTTTATGACTGTAAATGTAAACCTTTTGTAACAAACTTGAAACAAGCAAGCAAACGTACATCAATCATTTCCATTCATCTTTTTTACATACTTAGGCCTTCTGGTCTTGTATACCTTTCTTTATATCTTTTTAACAAGACAAACATATGAAATCCTTTCATATCAAAAAAGTATATCTCTTTTATCCATAGCTTTTTTAAAATCTTTCTCTATCTCATTTACTATTAACCTTTTATAACAAACTTTAGCAGTTAAAATCTTAAAGTGTTCTTTTTCTTTCTGTTTTCATATTGTTACATCTTAAGATCTGACTGGCTACCTGTAAAACAGTATTAACTTTCAGTTTTTATCAACAAAGTGCAGAAAAGAGCAAGTTAACCCTATAATTATAATTCAAGAATTTGCAATGCACAAGAAGCATTTTAAGCACACCAATTAAACTTAATTCAAATTGAAACAAAGATACATTTATCAAATAGTTAAAATTTTTATTTTGCTTTTTCTTGTAAAATCTCTTTGATGTCTGATAAGACACAGCTATAGTTACTCTGGCTTGCAGTGTTTTGTTTTGTTTTGTTTTCCTCTATTGTATGTTTTTCAGAGTTTTTTTACTCGTTTTAAATCCTTCAAAGATTTATTTCTTCATTTTAGTTCTTTCTACTCTGAGTGTAAGCCCTGTTCCATTTTCTCTGAATCCGACCATGCTTTTTCATTTGCACCATCCAGTGCAGTAAGCTAAACAATTCTGTTTTTCTCCCCTCCTCCACACCTTTGATCTTAGCAACTCGGGGAGGGGAAGCTTGACCTTCTCCAAAGGGGAAACATTGGGATTTGCCTGTAACGATATCACAACCTCTGAGAGGCAAGTTCACCACATCAAAAACAATAGATTTGGTAAGCAGTTGTTCTAAGACCAAAACTAAATAGTTCTTACTAGCAGCTGATTACCATGGGGCAGAAGCTTGAGCAGCACCTAGAGCACATAAGGCTCCAAGTTGTCAAAGTCTCAGGTAAACAAAACAAAGGCAGATAACTTTTCTTTTGTCTAGAGTTTTGTTTTTTGTTTTTTTTCTTTCTTTTTGGGAGCCAAGTCCAGCTTAGCTGAGACCATGATAACTCACAAAGTTTCTTAAGGTTCTTTAGTTGCAGTTTTATCTCATAGTCCCCTATAAAACCTTTATCAACATTCTGAATCATGCACCTAAGAACAGTTGGTTTAGTATTAACATTCCCCACAGCTATTAGATATTCCCTTGTCCAGTGACACAAGACAAACAAAGGGTGGGGTGTCGTTCCAGAAAACAGCCTCATTCACACATCAGCCTGGCTGTGAGCTTCCCAGCTCTTTCAGGCCTGCTCAGACTAAAGGAGAGTTTCTCATTGCAAGAGTTTCTGTTTTGTTCTTTCTAAACTCAGCAATAGACTCGCATAAGCTCCGCAATGCTAGGAGGACTCTTTGAGTGCAAGCACCCCCTCCCTTTGTTTTGGTGCACAGATGAGGCTACCAATGACTTTCGTAGCTCATTCCATTCACTCTCCTAACCAGATCTCTTTCACACATACAGTCACATAAGAAGTTAACACATTCCCTCCCTGGGACCCCTTTCAAAGACAAACTAGGGAGCAACCCAGGGGATATCACTATTAAGACATGATTTCACTCACTTGCCTTCCTTCTGTTCCACTACCAGCAAGATGGCCTCCAAGTCCTAGAAAGGGAACCCAGGAAATCCTGGGGGTGCACCTGTTCCCTTCTGAGGAGGCAGACAGTCACCCCCTCCAGTGGGACTCGGGTCGAGGCATAATAAGGGCTGGGTCAGTAATCCCTTTCCCTCCTGGCCAATGTAGCCAGAGGCTCTTCACAAGCCTGGACCCAAATATTTATATATAAGGAAACTGGTCAGGGTGGCTGGGGTGCCCAGTGACTTTTCCCCATATAGCCTGACAGAGGCCTAGCTCAAAGGAGCCCTTGGTTGGCCATTCTAATTGACACAGGGAGTGAAGCTTCCCACAAGAGAATTTAACCCTGTACTCATCCTCCTGTTAAGGGGGGAAAACCAATTTAAAATTAGTAAGAAAGCAATCTAGTGGGGTGTTCTTGGAGCAAGATCCTCCCATTTCTGTCCTAAGAAATATGAAAGTTAACACACAACAGACAGGACAATGACATACAAACAATAAGAACAAACAGGTGCCACACAAAAAGCTTTGATTCTTCCCAGAGTCCTCTTCAGGCAGGGCTGGGGTCAGGGGAGGCTTCCCAGCTCATCAGCCACCTCAATCCTGACAACAAATGGTTGCAACCCATCCAAAGCTTACCTCTGGAGGCATTTCAAAGGTCTGTGTCTGAGAATTTCCTGCTGGATCCCACTTCAGAGACTTTTGGCTGGATTTACAGTTCCCACCTGGAGATCTCACTGGACCTCCAAAATGTAAGCTCTCCAGGCCTTACTTCCACTCCAAGGAGCTTGAACAGCTGAAAGGGCCTCCAAGATACTTGGCCTATAGCCCAGTGATTGCTCCAGAAGCTTGATGAGCAATGAGAACCACCCAGGCAGGAACACACCAAACTAGTTGGAAAACAGACTTTTATTAGTCTGGCCAGATGGCACTCCCAGAGCCAAGTATCTCAGAGAGGCAACTAGCTCAGAGTCAGAGGTTGTTTTTATTAGGGACTATGGGGGGAGCTAACACTCCAAACTTACAGGAAGGGGACAAAGGCAAGTGGTCATCAATCATGTACTCGGCCATTACTTACTAATGGTCAGCAGATCAACTACCCATTGTTTTATAGATTGTGTCGTTTGGAACATTCAGTTATGGGGCAAACAAGGAGTGGAGTGATTTAGTTTGGGTCCCTATGTTTGTTATGGTTTCTATCTAGTTTTCCAGAACTACCAAACAGTTACCTATTAACTCATAATTAATCACAGTTGGGGATAATTTAAGATTACAATGCTGTCCCACAGTGGCAAATACAGTTTGATATTGGAGTGTAGTTTTTAATCTTCAATACCTGATTTTGAAGTGAATACCTAGAGGACTAGAGAATAAAAAGGTGTCCATAAGTTCTATTTCAAAGAATCATCATCATAATTTTTGTTTACTTTGAGATTTTTATTTTTAAAAAATCTTTTGATGAGTATTTTCTTACTTGAATAGACTGGTTGACTCAAACACAGCAAGTATTTTAGTCATGTTACAAATGAGGCAAAAAGGTCAGAAAGTGGAAAGTGTCATACAGATTGAAATAGTTCAAATGGCCAGTGGAAAAAAAGCTAGAATTAAACCTAGGTTGGCACCCTGACTCTGCCACTGAGTGCCTTAAAGTCAAATGTGTACCTTTTCCAAGTCTTTGCTTTCTCATATATAAAATGGGCATTATTGTAGTGTATATCATAATATAGAGAGATTAAAATGAGATGAGACAATATAAGTTAAATGTTGGCTTAGTGTTTGGCATGGTTATGCTCAAAAAATGTTTGTGCTAATAAAGTGGTAAATCCAAAGTTCAACTAGATTTCTCTGAATTAAAGCTCATGATTGCACCTTTACAGCCTAGTACCTCATGAAAAGCTTAAGTGAGCAAAAGGGCATCTGGCTACAGATTTAGGAAAGAGTAAGCATGCCACCACCTAGAATCCATTATTGAAACATATTTATTTCATGCATTTCATTCATTTATTCATATTAATTTGTAACTATGTTGGTTTTGTTTGTGAGAGGGTCTCACTATGTACCTCAGGCTGGTCTTGAACTCACTGTGTAGCCCAAGCTGGCCTTGAAGTTATGGTGATCCCCCACCTCAGCTCCTGAGAGCTGGATTACAGGAGTGTACCACCACACCCAGCTTAGTAGCTATTTTGTGCAAGTTACTATTGAGGTGCTAGAGATACAGAGGCAAATAGGACAAAGGTATATGGTCAATCAACAGGAAAACCAATACATTATTTGGTTTTTTTCTTTTAAGGACCACCATACCTATTATTAGAAAAGATCAAGCCAGAGCATCAGTATTTGGTCACTCACCATGCACTAAACTAAAATCAAAACAGATCAAAAATCTAAATATCAAAGTAGAAATACTAAATCCACTGGAAGATAGAATAGGTAGCACTCTTGAAGACATAGGTTAGAGAAAGATTTTATGAATAAAACCCCAATTGCATAGGAACTATCACAAAGAATCAACACTTGGGATCTCATATTAAAAAGCTTTTGCACAGTGAAAGAAACCAACAATAGAGAAAATATTTTGCCAGCTGTTCCTCAGACAAAGGACTAATATTTAGTATATATAAAGAATTTAGGGCCAGAGATTTAGCTCAGTGGTTCCACCACCTGCCTTGCAAGCACAATGACCCAAGTTCAATCCCCAGTACCAAAAAAAAAAAAAAAAACTTTTTAAAATCAAACCCTCCCAAATTTGAAGATCTACTCCAAAAATAGGCATCTGAAATGAAGATGTATATCAGATGAAGAAGTACAAGCATCAAATAAGTATATGAAAAAAATGATCACTACCACTGGCCATTTGAGAGATGCAAATTTTAACTACAATGAGATTTCATCACACTGCAGAAGGCCATTGTCAAGAAATCAGACAATAATAAATGCTGGTGGGGCTGTAGGGGAAAAGAAACCCTTCTCCACTGTTGATGGGAGTGTAGATGCAACCACTGTAGAAATTGGTATGGAGATTCCTCAAAAGACTAAAACTAGATGTTCCATTGAGCCTAGCTATTTCTTTCTTCGTAACTTCCTAAAAGAATTAAAAGCATCATATCACAGTGATATATGCATACCCACGTTTATAGCAGCACAATTTGTAATAGGTAAGTTTTAAAATTAACCCAAATGCCCATCAATAAATAGTGAATGAATAAAGAAGATGTGGGGGATTTTTTTATAGTGAATTATTACTCTGCTATAAAAAGGATAAACTTGAGACATTCTAGGTAAATGGATGCACCTTGACACCATATTAAAATAAATCATATGTATATATTTAAATATTTCATTGTTTCTTTAGTGTGAGAAACCAAAATGGTAAATAAGGACCAAAATGCATAATAGTTATTGGGAAATAGGAAGAAAATATTCAAATAGGAAGGGAAATGAGTGGGGGGAGAAATGACGGAACAGAAAGGGAAAAAGGAAACAAAGATTTTATAAATAAGGAGGGGAAGTGGGGTTGAAAGGAGGGCAGGGGACTGGGAAAAAAGAATTAAGATATATCATGTACAGGTGCAAATTCCCTATGATGAGTGTGATCATTATGTATATCTAAAGTATACCAATAAAATTAATTTTTTAAAAAAAATGGTGCCACAATCTTCACATGCTTGCCTCGTTTGATCCACATAGACACATTTGCCTCAAATACTATGAGGCTCTGGCTCCAAGTCCAAGTTCAGGGCAGTTCTGCAATGGTTGGCTGCAGAACAGAGAAAACCCCATTTGCCTATGGCCTGTTAACCTAAAATTAAGCCAGGTAGGTGTTTCCTTTGCCTCACTTCATTCTCATCCTTCTTAAACTTAGCCTTGGAAGTTGATTTCACATCCTGCAACTGTGGTGAACTTATTAGTTTTAAGTGCTATTTTGTGGATTCCTTAGGATTTTTAAATTATAAGGTCACGTATTCTTTGAGATCATTTTTACTTTCTTTTCATTTTTTTTCTTGCCCAGATACACTGGCTATAACTTCCCATACAATATGGAATAAATGAGATAAAAGAAAATATCATCTTGTTCCTGGTCTTAGGGAAAAATTTTTATTCTTTTACTACTATGTATGATATTAGCTGTTGATTTTCCATAGATGTCCTTTATTATGAGGAGTAATTCTCTTCTGTTTCTCACTTATACAGTGTTTTTCATGGAATGGTGATGTTTATAAAATGCTCTTTCTTCATCTATTGAGATAATTCATGTGGTTTTACTCCTTTATTATGTTAATATGGTATATTTCATTGATTAATCTTTTAATGCTGAGCCATCTTTTTATTCCATGTATAAGTTCCACTTGGTCATAATGTATAATGCTTTTTATATGTTGCTAGGTTCAGTTCGTTAGCAATCATTTCATCATATTCATATAGGATATTGTTCTATTATTGATTTTACTTGTAATAGCTTTATTTTGGCATCGAGTAATATTGCAGATAGGTAAGTTAGTTAGAAATTATTATAAGGCATTTAGACAAATCTGGGCCCTCAGCATAGAAAAACAATTGAGGCACATACACTGGTTAGACTTATTAAAAAAAAAGAAAAAAGAGGTACTACTCCTAGAGATGAATAGCAGTGATCGATATTCTAAATAGACATCAATATCCCTAGCCCATTTGCTTTCCAGAAATTCCTTGTACTTGACTTGTTTTCCCATTTGCTCCTCATCTAATCAATATCAACTGAGTGACTATACTTACAATCTTATTGGTTGGTCAGGGTTTTGTCCCACCTCATGCCCACCTTGTAATTTTCCATTGGGTCTTACAGTCTTGTCCCACCTTGAACCTATCTCACCTCATGGCTTTTGCTCAATAAAACATCTTTGAACAGTGGGGTGGGCATGCAGCCTGTTTTCTTCTGTCCCTCTTAGACAGAGGCTATTTTTCTCTTAATAAATTCTTCCTACTCTTAACCTCTTTTGTTCCTAGATTTCATTCTGTAATTTTAGAGAACATGAACTAGCATTTTGGATATCTAACAGATTTGGGAGTTGCATATATTCCCCCATATTGGTAATACTTAGTCAATAGAATATATTATTAAGAAATCTCTTCTCTTTTAACTTCTGGGTGTTTTTAAACAATTAATACTATTTCTTCTTTAAATCTTTGGGAGAATTCACCAGTTAAATCATCTGTTTCTGGGATTGTCTGTGTTGAACTTTTTAAGTTTCTACTTCAATTTTCTTTCTTGTCTGTTTAGATTTTTATTCCTTCTTGAATAAGTTTTGATAGGTTATATCTTTTTTGAAAAGTACCCATTTATCTTGTTTGCGTATAACTGACATTAGCATTCTTTATAATCTTCTTTATTTCTCTTAATGTCCTGTCTTTCATTCTTGATTTTAATAATTTGATCTCTCCTTCCTCCAAGTTTTGTTATAGATTTGTCAATTTTTTTTAGCCTTTTCCAGGAATTAAGTTTTTTTGGATTTGTTGAATTTCTCTGTTGTTTTTCTTACTCTGATTTTATTCCCTTTCGTACTGTTTGTTTTGTTTTTTTCTGGCTCTTATTTTTCTAGCTTCTTGAAGTGAGACTTGATATTTTTATAATGCTAAGATACAGGTATTATAGCTTTGTTTCTCTCTAAGCACTGCCTTTGCTGCATCCTGTAAGTTTTTATTTGTTATGTTTTTCTTTCATTACTCATAACACATTTTCTAGATTAATTTGTGATTTCTTCTTTGATTAGAAAGGTGTATGTTTAGATCGCTTCTCGGCCTTTTGGCTAAGATCAAGTGTA